TGCCACCGTATCATTGCCAGTTTAATCCCATCGAATATATATGGGGAATAGCAAAACAATATTATGACAACCATATTGGGCCTAATGGTTATAGTGACGACGCAGTTCGGGAAACTTGGCGAAAAGCACTTTCAATTGCAACTCCAGAAGTGTGGTGGAACTGTATACCCAAGTGCGAGAAACTAATAGAAGATTGGTGGACTCGTGAAAATAAAATAAACGAAATAAGTCCAATAATAATAACAATTAATGGTGATGACAGTGATGATGATGACGATTATGATATTTTAGATAATAATGACTGATTTTCATTTTTGTTGGCAAGTTCAATTTTTTTATTTTTCATTTGAAATTCTCTACATGGAACAAATTTTTATGTTAGAAAATATTTTATTTGAGCTAAATAACCCTCTTATTATACATAGACCATATTTTATGTGTGAAGTGTAATATAAAATTATTATTAGGTTTATAATAGCCACATTAGACTCCATTAATGAAGAAGTTTAATTCTGCTCTCAATTATACAAAGGATTCTCCATTATTTTTAAGCTATTGCATAGCTTTTATCGCGGGCTTTGAGCGCCGCGACCGAATCAAGAAACTCCGTAACGAAAATAAACCTAACACCCCCCACTATGACCAGCACAGCGGTGCGGCGTTGAAAGCCGTGGAAGGTTTTATCCGACCCTATTCGTATTAGTATGAAGCGGAGTTAAATATACGTCTGCGGACTGGAACGTTTATGCAATACAAGAACTAGAAGAGCTTTCTCTGGCTTCTAATAAATTGGTATCACAGATGTTCCCGGCTGGCGTAAATATTAGATATTAATTTTTTTTTACAAGATTTATAAAATATTAATTTTTATTTTATGTGTTAACTATTTCATTATTAAGCTATTGCATAGATTTTATCGCGTGCTTTGAGCGCGGCGACCGAATCAAGAAATTCCGTAACGAAAATAAACCTAACACCCTCGAAAAATCGAAAAATTGAAAAATTAAAAAATCGAAAAATCGTAAAATCAAAAAAGAAATTCCGTAACGAAAATAAACCTAATACCTCCCCCCACTCCGACCGGCACAGCGGTGCGGCGTTGAAAGCCGTGCATCGTCTAACGTCGTTCTAGTTCGGCAAACTTCGGCACGGTGTTTGTGTGCGTGCGACTAGACGTATGCGTGTAGACTAGCTGCTAGCTGTTCATAACTGATTATATTTTTTTTTAGACACAATTTCGGAAAAATTGAATTTGAAAATAAATAATGATCCACAAGAATCCACAACAAAATATGGGACCACCATTGACGCGGTATTTTCCAGATAATTCCAGAAACTTATGTTTCTTATTTCAGTTACCATAAACCTATAGTTTGAATGATAAAAATTCCTGAATAACCTACATGTATTGTAAGATAATAAAAATATTTTAAACAATATTAACTTCTCATTTATTCAATAAAAGAAAAAAAATTGTTTTCTTATCGGTCACCACGCTCAAAAAGTGTAATTTGAATTGATATCAAAGAAAAAACTTGAATTAATATCAAAGAAAAAAAATACTGCATAAATAAAATAAACAAATAATTATAATTGCATAAGTTGATAAAAAATGCTATGCAATAGCTTTACCGCGGCAGTCCCCGAGTGCCACATGTATTTTTTTTTTTTTTAATTAATTAATTAATAAGTTGTACATTATTTTTTATTTCATTTAACCAGTTGATATTTCTCCAAAGAACAAGTCAAACTTTCGGGTACTTACCTGGAAATACTCATAAAATTTTTAATCCGAAACCAGCGTAAGTATAGCGAACACACTGTAGGTAAATAAGGTGGTGTTATTGACACTGGTGCACACTGCACTAACAGCGAACGAAAGAACCTATGATTACCGAATGAAATGTCAGATGTGACAGGTGACATATATCATAGATGTCACTATCGACGAAATTCTATGAAAGTTGTCTGTTGTTTTTGTTTATAATAATTGAAGAATCCATTTTAAATTAAACATTACTATTAATCTCTGTTCTCACCACTTCAGCTTTCATTGAGATAGTTTTTTCGGTAATGAATTTGAAGTGACAAAAAAGAGAGAAACAGCGCGTCGATAATTTTAAATTAAAGTTTCGATTGTAAAACAAGCTTTGAAACTTTCAAAGATAGCAAAAAAATTGCTAGCCTATTCTAAAAGCACAGAAAAATATGTTATTAAGGCAATGAGAACATAAATTTCAAAAATACTTTTGTATTCTTCCAAATACTTTATTTTTCCTATTCAAATTTTATACGTTTTTTTTAAGTTCGCAACCCTAGTGACACCAGATGATACCACTGCTTTGACAATAATTGAAATGTATTTTAACTAAATATCTAGTATCCCTATAATGAAACGCGACTGTATGTATAGGGATGCTGGGTTTTTATAAAAAAATATATTTTTTTAATTTTTAAAAAATGGTAATCTTTATTTTTTCCAGATGACATTGAATTAAATGTAATTGAATGTTTGGAATTAATGTAAAATAAACAACATAGTATAAAAAACAACTAGCAGCCGTTAACTGTTGTTATCGCTTTATTTAATTTTCATTTTCCCTGTTCTTTCAACAGAAATTATCTATTCCATGTCCAAATATAATTAGAAACGCAATAAAGGCTAGTTCCTTTAGTAATTTTGAGCGATACATCGGCATTATTGGTATTTCAGCAATACAATAAACTGAAATTGCAAACCTAAGAGATCGTAACAATTTACTCATTTATTGATTCCCATGGCGATAGTATTTGCAACGGCGTCCGATCGTGCACAGAAAATAATAGTCCGGAGCTAAAATGCACTAATTGCGCACACTAAAGGTATTCATAATTTTTACCTAATTTATGTGTTCCAAATAATATAATAGTGATCTGTATGGTCTATTTAGAAAATAGAATAACTTTTGTAACTGAGCAAACTACACTGATAAAATTATATATTTGGAAAAATGAAACAAATAATTATTTGCTTTAAATGTCATCTAAATAAATATTTATTTAATCATATTCACTTTATGGAAAAATCAAACAAATATTGCATAAAATTTATTCAGGGTAAAATTCAAAGACATATTTGTTTAAATTTATATAGTTTTTATAAACAGGGTGTTCGATAAGTATGGTACATAACTTCATGAAGCTAAAATAAAGGTATTTTTGTCATATACACTATGTCTCAAAAATGCTTTTTTACGGAAATACAGGGTGTGAAAGTTTCTTAAAAAAAAATACAATTTTTTAAATATTTTCAAAACCACTTAAGATATTTTAATCAAACTAATCGCTGAGAAATATGGAAGGAAAAACGTGTTGTTACGCTACTGTTCTACAAACAAAGACAGTAAATTTTTACATTCTTTTTTATATTCTTAATTTCTTTGAACAATCTACAACAAAAAAGTTATCTTCAATTTTTCCCAGGTACTTGTTTGACATTTTACTAGTCGCCAATTGTTTATTTATTTGTATGTCAGACATTAAAATGAATAACTTTACTAACGCTGAAATGGCTCAAATGCACTTCATTTATGGCTTAGCAAATGGGAATTTAGCGAAAGCTAGAAGAATTTATCAGCAATGTTATCCGAATAGGGTAACGCCATGTGTTAAAACATTTAGAAAGATACATGCCAAATTGAGTGAAACCGGTAGTTTTGAGCATAATCGGGTAGTTCCTGGTAGACCACGAACAGTAACAATGCCTGAGCTAGAAGAAGCTATACTACAGGAGATAGAAGAAAATCCTTCAACTAGTACCAGGAATATTGCCCAACAGCTTCAAGTAAGTTCAATTACTGTTTGGAGAGTTTTGAAAGTTTCTCTGCTTTACCCATACCATATACAACGAGTACAAGCTCTGCTGCCCGCGACTTTCAGCCAAGGCTAAATTTTAGTAGGTGGTTACTCCAAAAAGTTGCTCATATCTACAAGTTTTTGACCCTAATTTTATTTACTGATGAGACAACTTTTTCGCGAGAAGCAATTATTAATTTTCATAATGAACATTTATGGGCTGAGGAGAATCCTCATGCAATAAGAGAAAGTCGCTTTCAGCAAACATTTTCACTAAATTTATGGATATAGATTATTGATGACTATCTTATTGGACCATACTTTTTATCCCCTCGACTAAATAGTCTGTTAGAAGAAGTGCCTCTGCAGGTAAGAGGAGATTTATGGTTTATGCACCATGGTGCCACAGTCCATTTTACCCTTCTTGCTCGCCAATACCTCGACATCACTTTTTCTAATCGCTGGATTGGACGCAGAGGTCCTCAAGCTTATCCACCTCGCAGTCCCGATCTTAATCCCTTGGACTTTTATTTATGGGGTTACCTTAAATCACTCGTGTATGAGACACCTGTATTAAATAAAAATGATTTAAGAAATCGAATAATACAAGATTAAGTGTAAAGGTTAAAGAAAAGGTCCTTTATTTCTCACAAGTCAATTTATTGGCGACCGGTTTCGAAGTTGTCACTTCATCATCAGGCACACCTAAATGGAATGTCAAGGAGTCAGTTGTAATAAAAACAATTATAAAAGCATGAACGGACTTTAACATATACAAAATAACAGAAAAAACACAAAAGAAAGTTAAACAATAACCTTGACTCACCTTGACTAATTCCATAAAGGAAGCGCTACAAAAAGTTTAACAGAACGAGTTAAAAAAGTCATGTGTAATAAGTATTTTTTAAAAAAAAATTTTAATGTAGGTTAGGTTAAACCACCAGATGTCTTTTTGAATAAAATAATTAATTAAAACACATTTAAGACAATTATTAACTAAACAACACAAAATAGTTTTACAAGCACAAACAGTTTAAAAAAAGGACAGTACCGTGTACTTCTATAACATAGAAGTTCAAAACGTTATTTTTCATAAAAAATTGTATTATTCCTAAAAATCCTGAAAAAGTGCACCATTTAATGATGTTTTTTCTTCTTTGTTATAGGTTAATTCAGATTACCTAGTACAAACTGGCTCAGTTGAAGGAATAACATAAGTTCTAAGAAAAAAGGTAAGTTTATCCATTTTTTTATTTCAGAGACTAAAACATGCATTTTACTCCCTCATTTTAGGAACTGAAGTGCCACTTTTACTCCCTTGAGACTAAAATATTTTAGTCCCAAGGGATTAAAAAATTTTAATCCCGCAAATAAAACCGTTTGAAACCATAGCAAACTACCTTTTCGGGAGGTAATAATAACAGGACCTCTTATATAAGCTAATAAATTTTAGGGTTTTTCCAGAAAATAGTTTTGTTTGAAACTTTGCATATATTTTTATTTATTATTAGTACAATTATTAAAAACACAATTGATTACTATAAAACGTCAAAATAATAAATTTCAATTTGACATTTAGTGTATACCTACTTGATTTACGTATAATGTGTTGCCTATATTCAAGGAACTGTCAACGAGGACATTGAAGTTTATTCGCAAAGGAAGGAAGGCGAGTTTATTAGCGAATAAATGTTGACAAATGAAAAAAATAATCAATGAAATTAATTAAATTAACAATAAAAAAAGCATTATTCTTTAGTACCTCAAATAACAAAACCAATAGAAAACATAGTAAACTACTTTATTTATTTCATAATCATTAAGAAATCGATTAAATAATCGTTATGAAAAAATATTGAGTGTTTCTTATCACATAATTATCGTGTAAATTTCTAAGTTTTAGTCCTTGTGGTACAAAAAATAGCGTATGTACCACGAGACTAAAGTGATTTTTAATCCCTCAAGTAACAATCTTTACTCTCAGGATTAAAAGTAGCACTTTGGTCCTTTGGTACATAATGTACTATTAATTATTTTTCTTTGGTATCTATTGGATAATAATTCGGTTTTTCTCAGTCCGCGTTGAATCATTTTGTTTTTCTTCAATTACAATTAGCATCTGCTTTTATAGTTAATTTACAACATAAAAAACACAAAATTACAAGTTATTATTTACAAAAAAATTAAAATGATAAATTACAACGTATAATGTTCGAACAGGTAGGTAACACATAATACCAGTGGCGACTTGGGGTAATTTAAAATGGGGATTAATTTTTTCCAATAATTTTAATATTTTTAAAACTTTGTACAAGCGCAAATTCCCCTAAAAACTTCTTTGGCATCGAAAATAATCGATTAATCGAAAATAATCAATTAACCGATTATTCGAAAATAAGCAATTAATCGAAAAGAATTGACTAGTAGTAAATAATCGATTAATCGAAAAGAATCGATGAATCGAAAAGAATCGATTAATATAAAAGAATCGATTAATTTAATTAACCGAAAATAACACCGGCACACACAAAAAAGTTGTTTGTACATCAGACACGACCTACCTACCGGCATGTATTTTAACCCGCTGAATCCGATATTCAAGTAAGTTTGGGCCGTCCACTCTTCAATATCGAGTAAATTGTAAAAATAAGATAATTAGTAATAAAAAAAAATTATGAATCGAAACCATGCAAAATTCTTATGTATTTCGATCCGCTGAATACAAATCTGAAGTTTATTTAGACTATAAACCGTTCTTGTAATAGTATTGGCGATTCAAATTAATTTTCGCGCGCCTGTCATTTGTCATCTATAAGTAGGATGTTTGTTTATTTACATGTTTTTATTTTGGGCGGATTTTGTATTTGTGATTTTTTTAACTGTTTTTAGAAAATATTCTCATTGTAATAGTGTTTTTGAGTTTCATTTAGTGTTAATTTAAGTTTAAGTCTCGTGCTTTCGTTATAAATATAATATTTATCATGTGTATGACTTCACCTATTGGTTGCTACAAGAACATCTAGAAATATGTATTCACTAAACCCAGGACATGTTTTATTATGTGGTTCAAAGGACCTTTCAGGTACCACACGTTTATTATTAATGAACTTATTTAAAAATCTTACTAGACTTATTCTTATATTATGAAGTGAATCATACAGTACTTTGTATACATGTAAATGGTAATAAAACCGTCAAAAAATAAGATTACAGTTTGATTCTAAACAAAGTTTTGTAAAATTTCAATATTGTGAATTTGTAGATATCCATTTATCGTAAAAAACTAAATTTTACGACTTGTACTTGGAAAATAATGAATACTTCTGTTTTGATTTTGACATTAACACCATATAGATTGCAATTTTCTGGGGATTTTTTTCGCAGATTTCATTTTTAATATAAACACTATCACATGCTATAAGATATAAACAAATTTAAAGCTAAAAAGTAAGAAAAAACTCGAATTGTAATTGTTACAAATTAAAATGTAAACAATGAACACGAACGCCAATGTTGCCAAATGATGAACTGATTTTAAAACAAAATTAATAAATGAACTGAAATTAAAAAAAAATCAATATAATAAATCGGTTTTATAAAATCCTTAAATAAATATAGAGTATGATAACATATTACCATACACAAATTTTGATTCTTAAATAAAAGGTCTTATCCACTTCTTCAAGAGCTAAAATCCGACGACGTAGCGAAGTTTTGCTACTTCTGGCAACACTGAACGATATCCTACCTATACGGGCATTCTACAAATTTCCTCCAGAGGGCGTATCACTTAGCTTGAATCGCGAATACTCTCCAGTAGCCAAGTCCCCCACTACCGAATAGCTACAGTCGCTTGATGACGACGCCTGCGGGCCTGCTTTCTCACCCTGACCAGACGCCGATACTGGGTTTCCGGATCCCTGCATCGTAAAGTACTTATCACTTGTACCTGCCATGACGGCATACAAGCCGTTAACCCAGGGACTCAGCCAGATGGTCCTGTTGCCCACCGTCACCACGTGGAGGTGCCCTGGTCGCAGGCACAAGCGATCATGCGATAAAAAAATCAACTGCGGAAGTCATTTGAGAACAAAAAAATTTGATGCCAACAAAAAACAGTTCAAAATCTGAGAAAATCTTTCGCCTCATTCAGTTCATACATCAGTTTTTAGAGATATTGCAATTTTTTGCTACTTTTAACATTTTTCAAGGTTTTTGTACAATTTCTATAATTTAGAATGGTTAATAATTTTTTTTATTACATTATCTTATTTTTACTATTTTTACAATTTACTCGATATTGAAGGGTGGACGGCCCAAACTGACTTGAAATTCGGATTCAGCGGGTCAAAATACATGCCAGTATGTAGGTCGTGTCTGATATACAAACAACTTTTTTTTATGTGCCGGTGTAATCGATTAATTGAAAATAATCGATTAATCGTACAGAATTTAATATTTTGCTAATAATGTTGCTAAAAAATAGCGCGGTTTCAAGTAGGCACACTGTTTGTTTCACGGATCTGTTGACCTCTCTTTATAACTAGAGGCATTCGCGAAAACCTCGCGTTCAATCAGCACATTGCACCGACAAATATATATATTGGTTATTTTTTTTTGTTTCTTTTAGATTGTAAGTATGGATGAATATATACGAAATTTTGAGGTTGAAAAGATAGAAACAAAAATAGCACATAGCACAAATTGTTGCAAAAACTAATTGTAAAAAAAGCTTACCTTAATAGAGTCTTCTTTTAGTTGTTACTTTGCTTCTTCTTTTTAACCTCAAAATTTGTAAAACTTGTAAATGTGTACATAGCAATGTAAGGAAAGATTGTTTAAGTTGATTTTTGAGAATATAAAAACTATTTTTAAATAATAAATTTGGCATTGTGGGTTGCAGATATTTTAACAAGCTGTGCTTTTAAATATCTGTCACCTTAATTGTACAAATAGCGTTGCCACGAGTTAAGAGTTAATTTTAAATGTAGGTATACATATTGTTTTACTGTGCACAAGCATATTTTTTTCTTTATTCATAACAAATATTATATTGTATTTAATTTAATTGCATTATTTATGAATAAACATTATTATTATTATTACAAACGCGATCAGGCAGAGCGTAGTGGGGTACCAAAAAAGAAGAGGTTAACGCGTACGAGAATAATTGAATAAGTTATTTATGTGATTTTAAAATAATAAAATTGAATTGGATGTTCCCTGCACATTTGAACCAATGGCGAAACCGCCCCTGCATAATACACAACGTAGTTTTTATTTCAAAATCTCTTATTTGTAGAAGGCTATGAAAAATAATGTCATATTATTTATGTCACTTTTTAGACGGCGAAATTTACTTTTTCTCGCAAAAACAGTTTTCTCTCAAGTGTTAATTATGCAATCAGTATGTGCAATAACTGAAGGTAAAATAATGAGTAGGTACTCCACCAGAGGTAATTATATAAACGTAAGCTCTCACAAATTATTTATTGCCAGTAAAATCCAAAAACAAGTAAGTATGAAATTTATAAACTTGCGAAAAAAATATTTTAACCATTTTCCAAAAGCGTTTAGTTATGGCTTATTTAAAGGAACTCGCTCATAAATGTCTTATCAAGCACGTAATTTTTTTAATTTAGTTAGAAATAATGATCCTAGAAAAAGTATAGTACGTAACACGAATTGTAAGCACATTTATTATGCACTCGTGGAATGTATTCACTTACAATTCTTTTTACATAATTTGCTATTATTATTGTGACCTCTAGCTGTGATTTTTTTTTTTTTAAGTAATAAAAAATAAGAATAATGCAGTATTTTTACAATATCAGAATCGTTTGCGCCTCTAAACTATTAGCAATGACCTGGCGTCTGATCCTATGTACAGAACAATATAACACAGAAACACTATAGTTTTAGAATGATCTACTAAATACGTTGCCTGCATATTAACTATTGTAAACAATCGCTTGATATACAAAACGTTCAACTTGCATTGAATGAATGGGCTCCATGATAAAATGAACTCCATTTTAGTATGCATCATTTTATACCATCACGATCTCTCTGACGTTTTTAACAACATAAGAATTACAATAACAGGCATACTTCATGTCGTAGCCTGCATGTTCTAGTTTAATAATAATAAATCTCTAATTATCATTGTTGTAACTGGAAACCGTTTGTATAAAAAATATGAAACATCATAACTTGTTTAACCATTCTTTTA